TGCTAAGAGGGAGAGTTGGGGTGGGGCCTATAGAGAGCTTTCAGCAAGCTGCAGAGCCACGCAGGTAGGAGGTGAGCTACCTGAGCAGCTACCCGAATGAGCTGTCTTAGAGCAGAACCTGAAGCCTGGTCAAGGATTCAAGCCAGACCCTTTGATCACACTGCTCCTGTGCTCCCAATGCACAGAAACTATCGCTACCTGTTCATTGTCACTTAAAGTTGCTAGATTTTGAGGTAACCTACTACCTCATAGCTGCTGTGACTCTTTGCTGCTGGTTCAGAATTACCAGAACTTTTGCACTTGCTTTTTCTTCTACCTAAAATCCTATTCCTTCAGATACTGCATGTCCTAGTCTCTTATTTCTAAAGTTGCTAGATTTTGAGGTAACCTACTACCTCATAGTTGCTGTGACTCTTTGCTGCTGGTTCAGAATTACCAGAACTTTTGCACTTGCTTTTTCTTCTACCTAAAATCCTATTCCTTCAGATACTGCATGTCTTAGTCTCTTATTTCTTTCCGGCTCTGCTAAATGTCTTGCCATCAATTCCGTAGCTGTTGGGGGCGGGCCTACGGCTGAGGCACCATCCTCCATTACAAGATGGCGCTGGGACGCCAGGAAGCCCAGAATGCCGCATTATCGCAGGAGAGCCGCCAGGGAGGAAATAAGCACCATTGGACACCAGTAGGCTGGGGGTAGCAGGAGGGGCGTTTCTGATTTAGCCTGATTGGTCGCTGGGAATAATAAATAGCGCTGCGCAATGGCAATAAGCGGCAGCTGCTTGAGAACAACCAGGGTGTCTTGTCGCTTCTGCCGGTAGGGAGCCACGCGTAGCAATACAGCAAGAGGCAACACATACAGGATGTTTGAGATATCTAGGGAGTGAGCCATCTGAAGGGGTCAAATATTCTTAAATTATTGACTAGCACAACCACCTGGTACCATTCCTGGTTTATGGACGCAGGGAATCTACTGAACTTGAAACATCTAAGAAATACCGAAACAAAGATGGTCAACATGTGGGCAGACAGACCACTGACATCGTAGATCTGGCCTGGGAGCAGACTTTGGAACCATGACCAACTATATAATTTATAGGGCCTGGTGCAACATGAAAATCCTTGTTCAAAAAGTACATGAGACTCACCAATGGCCCAGTCTCCTTGTAGGACAGAAAAACTATGCTCTTGCTGAGGGCAGAGAAGATGAACCTGGTCTCTCTTCATCCCTTAGTCTCCAGTCTACATTGGAGGGTCAACCTCCAGGAGATTGTAATTCCCATGCCAAAGATATACTTGAACAGGGGGTGGGCCAGGGGTTCAGAATCCTCATTAGTTGCCCCCTCTGGACCACTGCCACCATGACCTGCTCTAAGACATTGTGGCCCTGAACATCCTGTGTTTGTGCCTGTCCTGCACCCCCAGCCTCCCCAACCCTCACCCCCTGTCACGGAACTAGGTGGGGTGAGGAGCAGGAGTGTGACAAGGTTGAGGTGGCAGGGAGTGGAGGGAGGTGGTAGTTCAGAATTCAGGCAGACAGTGAAGTGGCAGAAGCAGGATGCATGCACAAGAACTGAGCCATTGTTTCATTGGGCTTCATTTAGAAAACAAATCTTCAAACATTACATTATTCAGAATAGCAAAGAGGCAATCATAGAGCAAAGATTCCAGAATACAGAACCTTGTTTGAATGACGTGTTTGTTGCCCAGAAAAATGGCCATGCTTAGGTAAAGATATGACTACATGGGTTCAATAGGGAAAGATAAGATAAAAGGCCTGAGGACTAATGCCAGAAAACACACACACACACACACACACACACACACACACACACACACACACACCCCTATAAAGGATGGGCATCCTGTGGCCAAAGGTTACAGTTAATCAGAAGATCAATAAATGAAAAAATACTGGTCTGTGATCCCCACCCTGGAAAAGTTTTGCAAATCCAACAAGCTCACCACATACTGTCAAGCACATTTTATTTCACAAACTGTTTATGATGTAGATGATAATTTTTCAGGGTCAATAGTATGGTTATTTCATAGGTCTTTTATTACCTTGATTATTTTTGAAGCATATAGCACTCAGATGGGGAAAAAAAGCACAACAGTTGATGGGATAGCTTCAGGAGATAAAGTGGATTAAATGAAAGAATAAAATTTACTACCAATAGACTCACAGCTAACCTTAGTAAATAATTAATTTCTCTTCCAGCAAGTCATATTTATATAGAAGGCCACCAAGTCTCTTTGCAACATTTATCAAGAAAGAAAAATGTAAACTCATAAAATCTGTGAAGAATTTCAAATGACTCATTGAAACCTATTACAAAATCAACCACTAGAGTTTTCTAACCACTAATTAACTTTGAGTCAAGTCTTGGGGGCTATAAAAAACAGACTGGTTGGTGAGAGGGCTGTGGCAGGGAGCTGATGAGACTTTGAGAGCTCAGAATTGGTGAAAAGACTGATGCTTTAAAAATGGATTTAGAAATGTCTCTGGAGTGGTTTATGAAGTGGCTAAGAGCACAGATTCTGGAAGGAGCTACTTGGGCTTGAATCCCAGTTCTGCCACTTACTCCCTGTGTGATTTTGGGCAAAGTACTGAATTGCTCGGTGACCAAGTGAAAGTGGTAATAACTCCTGGGATTGCTGTGAGGATTAAGTGACTGAATGTTTGTAAAACATGTTTGTAAAACATTTGGAACTCTGCCTGGCACATAAAATGCACAATGTAAGCATTTGTTAAATGAAATTGTGAAAACTGATTCTATAAACAAATACCTCTGGATTTTTAGTTTTGTAAAAACTAAGGTTTGGGGAGTGCTCACTAAAATAATGTAACTGCTCCTCTTCTTCATTTTTATTTCCGCACTTCCCATCTTTTCTCCCCCAACCAATTCCACCTTCACAGTACAGTACTGATTTCTCTTTATGCTCAAAATAGTTCTCTTGATTCATAAAAATACCTTAAGGGGGCCTCCCTCATTGGCCTAGGGGCTAAGTATCAACTTTAGCCCCATCCAGGGAGCTCACCCACATGACACAACAGACCTCTCCTGTCTCTCCCACTGCTCCCCTTAGCAGTGGATTTCACTACATCTGCTTGTTCTGCTCCCCACGTTGTCTCTGGGGAATCCTCCCACTCCCCACCCCCCAACACCCGTGGCCTATACCTCAACTCACCTATGCAAAAATAAATAAAATCATAAAAACAAACCAACGGAAACAGGGCTCTAGGGATCAAGGGGCTAGAAGAGATCAAGATCAGGGCCCACCAGAGCATGCTCATTATCTGTGGGTTCTTACTTACATGCATGGTTGGCAAGACCACAGGCTCAGGGAAAAACAACAAATCGGGTAGCAAAGAATTTCTAAGGCCAGAGACGGCCAGATGTCTTACCCCAGACAGTGTCCACAGTGTCCAGAAACCCCAAACAAAAGGTCACATGTCCAAGATGGCACCAACACACTAACAAGGATCTGGAGTGCACTGCCTGCTAGCAGCTAGCCAGACCCTACTCACCACACCTAGATGTGCTCTCTGGCTGCTGATAAGAACTGGAGCAGCCCCAGCCACAGGCTGATGGTCCAGATGGACAGCACTGGTTGCTGGACCAGACAGCAAGTGAGGCAGCAGCAGCAGCAAGAGGTGGTGCCTGATGGTCAACAACTCTCAGAGCTGACCCTCAAAAGTGCAGGCTACCTGTCAGCAGTGCTGGACAACACTGGCCTACAGTGCCGGTCACCTGGTCACCAGGGATGGTGTCAGAGTCACCACTGTCATAGCTCTTGTGAGTTATTGGGCCATATCACCACCAACAGCTTTTTGAGACACCAGGGCCCTGGCCTCTGGGGCTCCTGTCAGGCTGGGACAGGGGTCCCAGAGGCAGGTGCCCCAGGCCTCTGTGAAGCTTTTTAGCGCCCCTTTTTCCTTCCAGGTCAGCATCAGGAAAGGGCTTCTTTCTGCTTTGCAGAGTCCCAGCGTCTCTCCTGGGGTGCAGAGCCACGAGTTGGAGTCAGTCAGCGCTGCCCAGAGGCCAGGGGGCAGAGGTTCTCCTGGAGGCCCTCAGCAACTTCCTCCCCAGAGTGAGGGGGAACGTTCACCAAGGACTCTGAGGGTCCAGTTTGGAGGTCCAAGCTGGCTTGTGTCTTCTCCCAGGGACCCCCCCCATGCACTTCCCACAAGCAGCTTCGGAGTTGGGGAGGGTGTCTCTCCATTTTCAAAACTAGCCCATGTGGCTTAAAAATAGAAATTCATCATGTCCCTTTTTTTGCTCCTGAAAGACATTCTTTTGCTCTCTACCTTCACTTCATGTATTACTGTTTCATCTGTTTCTGCTCATTTTCTACCCTTGGGTTCAAAACCATAGTGGAAGTTTGGGGCTTTTTTTTGCCCTCTTACAGGGAGAACAAAGTTCTCAGGACCAAATGGGTGCACCCGCGGATGCTCGTTTGAATGTAAGGGGGGTAGGGGGCGCTTCCCACTCCTGCTACATCGTCCTTTTGGTGGAAATGTTCCTTTACATTGTGTATGCATTCCTTTAGATTTCGCTCCTTATCCCTTGATGCTCAGACTCTGGCTTCTTTTTTTCTGTGAAGTCACTCCTCTCTGCCTTCTACAGAATCCCCTTCGTCCCACTTTGGAACAGTAAGGGTAAAGATACTCAGGGCTTTTCCTCCAGCTCTCCCTTGCAGGGTTCTTCGCCTAGCCAGTCACATTAGTCAACGGCAGCAAGTCCCAGGATGTGACCATATACGACCTAGGAGCGGAAAGCTGCCTTGTTTCGGGGTCACGGTTGGATAGCTCGGTCCGCTGCCGCCCAGCAAGCTCTCTTGCCTCTCCCGGGCGGATTCATTCCAGGAGGCCGCGCCCGCGCCCTGGTGCCCCCACTTCCGACTGGAGCCTCTTAAACCAGGGCGGCTCACTCGCCAGCGCCGTCCGCACTGGGCATGCTCAGTGGCCGCCGGGGCGAGTCTTTCCGCGGGCGGGCGCCGAGCTCCCGGGCTCGCCTTCTCTGAGCGCGGCTGCACTAGGCAGCCCTGAGCTGGGAGAGCCGCGCCCCGCCGGCCACGCCGGCCCTCGCCGCCCCGGACCCCAACTTCGCTCCAAGTTCGGGCCCGCCTTCTGGGGGAGCCATGCAAATGATGACCAGAGACGTTCTGTTAGAAATGGAGGAGGAGGACGACGAGGATGGGGAGATCGGTGAGTGGGGGGCTCCCGGGGCGGGCGGCGCGAGTCCACTGGCCTCCGCTCCGGAGCCCGAGGCAACGCGGGGAGAAGTTGGGGACAGCGCGTGGGCGGCGCCCCCTCGGCGGGGCAGGTCGGCTGGGACCCTCGGCCGCTGTGGGGGTCGCGCGGGCGCCGGGGTTGGGAACCGGGAAGCCGGCGCCGCGGTCCCGGGGCCGCAATGCGCAGCCACCCCGGGGCGCCCCGGCTGGTGGCCTGGGAGAGACACCGGGCCCCTATACACTTTCTGCATCGGTAGGGGCGCAGCCCTGGACCGTCGAGGTGGAAACGGGGCGTCTCCGCGCGCGGAAGTCTTGACTCAAAGCAACAACTTTTGGGTCATTTCCTCCACCGCAGCCAGCCGGGGATTCCGGAGAGCGGCGCGGGCTGCGGGTGCAGTGGCCCGGCCGGGTTTGCGGAGCCGGGGCGGGACCCAGTCAGGTCCGTTTTGAGGAAAGCGCCCTGGGAGGGAAGTGGCTGCCGGGTGGGGCAGCTCGGAAACAGATTTGTGGCTTCGGGGCGCGGGCTGGGATCTTTTCGGCCGCAGAGCCTTTGGTGGAAGTGATCCCAGAAGGAACCCATGGGCGGAGCGGACCGCGCGGGCTGTTTCGTACTGGTCTAGAGAGACCCCGAGCTAGGTAACCTAGCCTGGGGTGTCCCGATTCTACTTCGGGGTGACGTGCGAAGAAGTGGTAGGCAGGAAGAGGAGAGCTGTTTAAGAGCAAAAAACAAACAAAGAGGGTGGGAGGAAGTGTTTGTGTGGAAGCCATTGGGGGAGCAGGGAGAAAACCGGATCCCCAAAAGCGGGCTTTGTAGGGGTAGGATGAAATACCCGGTTCCTCCCGAAAACTGGCAGTTAACTGACTGCGCCGCCCCCCCCCCCAACCCCCGCTCAATTTCCTTGACGCCAAAACATTTTAAACTGTAACAATGACCTGAAGCCCTGTTCTCTAATAGCTTTAGAAAAGACTTAATTTTAGGAGTGAGGGGTTCTCTTTCTTAATTTTACGTTTTAGGCACTGCTTATTTATGTTTTTGTTTTTCCAGCCTTTGAGATGTAGTTACACATAATATTGTGTAACTTTAAGGCTTAACAATGTGTTGAATTGATGACATTTATACATTGCAAAATGATTGCCACTGTAGCAGTAACTAACCCCTCCACCAGACGTAATTCCTTTTTTTTTGTGGTGAGAGCATTTAAAGCTGTGTCTTAGCAACTTTGAAGTAGATAACACTGTATCTTGTAACTACATATATACTTGGGGTTTGAACTGGAGGTGTCCACTCTTTAAGCAATTTATCTCCATGCCCCCTTCCACTATTCTGTTGCTTTTATGAGTTCAACTCTTTTAGATTTCAATGTGTTAGCGAGTACTTGTCTCTCTTGATCTTACTTATTTCATTTAGTATAATGCTTTCAAGTTCCATCCATGTTGTTGCAAGTGACAGGACTACTTGTCTTGACCGAGTAATATTCCTCCGTGTGTATCACATATATAATACATCTTTATTCATGTGATATACATTAGAACACTTAAGTTGTTTCCATATCTTGGCTATTTAAATCCAGATAACTTGATAACTTCCTTGAGGGAAATTGAATAGAGGTGATTATACACCACAGTCTAGTTTTACCTTGCATTCACCTAAATAGAGATTGTAAAGTAGCCTCTGACGCTTCCAGGTTGGTCTGCTTAACTTCTCACATAGCCAGTTGATTCAAATCCAGGTTTTTTGACTAACAAGAGCTGTGTAAATCTATGTAATTTTCTATTTGGTCATTCTGAATGACAGAAAAGGTCAAATACTATTTCACAGGCTTTATAAAACCATGATTTAGAAAAACACAACTCATAGGAGAAAACATCAACAAGTTATAATAAAGTTAGTACAGCTTGCTTAATAGGAAAATGCATTTGTTTGTCATGGTGAGCTGTCACTGTGTATACTGAGTATGAATAATTAAGGGGGAAACCAAATGGAAATTGAAGTAAGCAAGAGACTGAATTTTGTCTGTTCCAATCAACAGATCCCAGTTTAGAAAGAAAACTATCTTGTTCTAGTCTATGTTTACCAGGTGAAGCTTGAGAAAATTCATTTTATGTGTGTGGCCATAGGCTTTTTAAGTTTTTAATTGGTGAAGTAATTTGTACTGATTCTGTCAAGTCACTGAATATATTTAAAGACAAATAAAATATCTTTTCACTTCTTCACCCCATCCTTCATAGGCTACTGATATTAACATTTTAGTGTGTGCAGGGGTCAATCAGCTGTCTATTATGTTAGGCAGTACCTATTACTTAAATAGATCTCAAATTTAATGTGGGCTGTGGTGACTTTATAACAAAAGATGTTCGATGTGGCAACTACAAGTTGTCATTGTAAAACATAAGCCCTTTGAAAAGTTAGCAGAAGTGGGGTGATGCTTGTACAAATGCAATTTCCAACTATGGGAGAAGAGACTGGTGAAATGAAGATTATAATTTTAACCTCTGCTTCTAGTTTTGTAATAGAAGGTTATGTTAAAAATGTTGACTAATATTCTCCTAGCACTTGATTATCACTGCTAGTTGTGCAATAACTTAAAACACTCAGATACTCAAGATTTCTCAGAAATCATGCTGTGAACACTAACTTTTCAGTTTGGAGCAGGAGAGTTATTTTGATACAAGTTCCTAGGTAAGACATCTGACATTACTGGTTAATTTGCTGGGGAAAAGAGAAGAACAAATTATTAAGCTAGCTGTAGTCTGTAGTCATGTGGGGATATTTTACATGCATGTATGGAAGTGTTCCCTTCGATGGTATACAGCCTTTGACAAATAATTATATTTTCCAGATGTGGGAGAAAAGACTGGGATTTCGGGCCTTTTTTCCCCAATGCATTTTGCTTATTTCTGAAACACCCTGTTCAGTACTTCACATCAGAGTTGCCGTGTTATTTTGGATCAACTGATCTAGTGAATCAAAGGTAGTAAATCTCACTAGATGCATTTTTCCCATATTTGCTTAACTTATCGTCACCAGAAATTGTGTCTAAGGCTTGCCAATGAGGCAACCTGTTGGAGTGAGGGCATTTTGCAAAAGGCAAAATTAATTTCCAGTAATTAACTGCAGGTGTCACATGCAGACAGTCATGGTGGGGAGTATTGGACTTGTAACCCTTATTGCCAGTGCTGGTGCCAGTGGAGATGAGTTCCTGCAAGGTCAGGGGGACAGGGTGTGTGCACCTGGTGTGCACCTGTTTTGCCCCCTGCCCCAGATTAACCAGTAGATTGAACTCAGTGTCTCTTCCTATTGATGTAGAAGGAGACAGAAGCATCTTTTTTTTTTTTTTATTTAAAGAAGCATCTTTTGATGTCAGAATACAGACATTATCTTTAGTATGCTGTGTTATTTTTTTCTTGCATTTGTATGGTTCAGACTTTTCTGAAACTGGAAAAATATTCTCAAAAAAGGAGTTGTTATGCCCTCCCAAGTGGTGCAGCATGTTAAAGCACAGCATTGTGAAGCTAGCCACAGGCACCTTAACTTGAGTTTGATCCCCTCCTGGGGGTTAACCCACATGGTGCAGCACCTCAGCAGTGTACTTCGTGGATCTGCCTGTTCTGCTCCCCATTCTGCCTCTGGTGAATCCTCTCACCACCTCTGCCCCTCTGAGGCTGAAGGCTCATCTTTATTTATTTTGTAAACCAGAGGAGCAGGCCTCTGCCTGTACCCCACTTCTGTGTGCATAAATAATAAATCTTAAAAAAAAAACAAAGTGGTTAGGAAATCATCAGATAGTTTAGCCAAATGTCTTCTGTTCTAGTGGTCAGCTGGTTGCTTACTCTCTGAGCCCCACAGCTAGCGGGGATGTCTTGGGGGCGGGGGAGGCCAGGAATCCTGAGAAGTGATGGTCTCCAGCATCTTCAGTGGCTCCCATCTCACTGTCATGGTTTCACGTGGACATACTTCCCACCAGCTCCTATTCCCTTTTCCCTACTTGATTAATCACATGAAGGTGTTAGACAAGTTTTGCTTTGTTAGCATTAATTGAGCAAACCTGTTGTATTATAATACAGGATTGGGTGCTTGCCTGGGTGTTGGGATGTAGTTCTCCCTGCTCCCCGGGCTTACAAAGTAAGTAAGATGGAGCCCTCAGCCACAGAGAGATGGGTTCCTTGCAAGCAGATATATGCAGGGAGTGCGTTATTGAGGTGTGTACAAAGGAAGGAAGGTTAGAGAGAGAGGAGATTATTGGGTTGGGTTTGAAGGGCTAGGCAGGTGCAGTGGTGTGGAAACCGAAGAGAGTTGCAAGTTGGTTGTATGGAAGGGAGTAGTCGCCAGCCTGGGGAGCGGGGAGGACTGCACCCTGAAGGATCTTCTGCACATTTGAAGCATTTTGTATTTCACTCTGTATGTGTAGCTCCTGGATGGTTTTTTTTTTTTTTTTTTTTTAAAGATTTATTTATTTATTCGTACAGAACTGGGGTACAGGCCAGAGATGCGGAGGGTGAGAGGATTCACCAGAGACAGAGCGGGCAGCAGAACAGGCAGATCGACTAAGCACACTGCTGAGGGGAGCAGCGGGCGGGTCAAGAGAGGTCTGCCACGCCATGTGGTCACCTCCGGGGCAGGCGGGAATCGAACCCATGCGGAAGCGGCTCTTTAGTTTCTTAGTGCAGTGCTTTAACCCGCTGCGCCACCAGGGAGGGCCCGCTCCTGGATGGTTTTAAGGAAAGGAGCAATGGGGTTGAATTTGCTTTTGGAACATTCCCCCTGCAGCATGCAGGGAATGTGTTGGGAGGGCAGACGGTAGAGGTAGACCTCTCCTCACTCAGGGTCAGGACGACGGCGGTGGCCCTGGGAATGGAGTGGTTCCAAGAGGTGATGGTTGAGCTGGGCCTTCATCGTACACCAGTTATTTCCAGCAAGCAGAGAGAAATGTGGGATGACTCTCAGGTTTTAGCTGGTGATTGGGGGGGGGGGGG